TGTGTGTGTGTGTGTGTGTGTGTGTGTGTGTGTAATGCAAGGATATCAATCAAATAAAAAATCCTACACAAGCCCCTAAAAGGCCTCTGGCACAACTGCAGGAGGAAGCCCCTGGAATGAAGGAGATGAAAACCCTACACCTGTTTCTGTTCACTGGGGAAGTGGCATAAAGTACAAAGAGATAGCAAGCAAAATCAGAAAGGAATAGTAAATGCTCAGAAATTACCAAGCATGCTGAAATGTGGAAATATTAAATTTCCACAGATGGCTTTTAAAAATGAATGCTTCCAGGTTTTTTTTAAAAAATAAAAAAACAGGAATGAATAGATCATGTGCAACTCAACTGAACTTCCTTCAGCAAAACAACCTTGTATAAGGGTAAGGCTGGTGGGTGGAAGTTACAGTGCTGTCAACAAAACAGAACCTAGGTGGAGCTTTGTTGATGCTAATATGAACTGAATTGCCCATTTTTAGGAGCAAGAGCTAATAATGGGTCTTCATATATTCAAGGAATGTACCAAGAATTTTAAAAGAAACTCTTTAGCAATTCCCTTTATAGCCAAATAGCACATTAATGCATAGAGTAATAGTGTAATCAAATCCTGCTATGAGACAGAGGAAAGTCATTTTTCTTCCTTTTTTAACTGTAGGAATTTAGCAGCCTCCAGTAATCACATTGATATACGCTAGGCTCATTCTTTCTCCCAGAGAGAGAAGCCAAGGGAATAATAACAGATGCGAGGCTGGGTATCAGTCTCATGTGAAATTAAAAACAACATTGACAGTTTTGAGTGGGGAAGGTTTAAATTCAGAAAGTGTTGGAAGATCTAGTTGAAGATTAGTATTAAAACTCATGTGGGGGAAAAGGAGGTGAAGTCTTTTCCATAAATCATCCAGATACTTAATTTGATATCAAACATGAACCTTAACATGTGTCATATAATCTGACTTAATACACCCGGGGCTTATTAAAATGGTGTGAGCCAAAGAGTATGGTTATTTAGACAAGTCTGAACAACTCCTAGGCAAGGAAGGAAACCTACCTTAAATTTGAAATTGTCTTGGAATTGTCTCACTTTAGAAAAAATTTAGAAAGACATAGATTGCGTTATCCCTCCCACTAGCTTTACCATTTGGAATTTGACTGAACAAGAACCAACATTAAGAATTAGAAAGAACAGGTAGTGATGCAAGCTTTCAG